GTGCCAATATATTCATGCTTACTTGCACTTCCATACTTCTGCTGGTATGCCATCAGGTCAAGAACTTACTTATTTTTTGTATTGATCAATGCTTCTGCAACAACTTCTTCTAGAACTAGTTGTTCTATCTCACTCAATCCTGATTTAGTTTTATCAAATGGCATGGTGCTCTTGGATTATTTTCATTCATAAACCTTTAAAAGTAATTACGTCACTGTTCTTTAATCTGGTTCTTATACAATATTCACACAGAAATCAATAATGCAGGATCTGGCCCTTTAATTGCTAGCCTATTAGTAAGGCACTGAATGCCACTAAACTTCTTTTGAGAACTAATGAGCCATAGTTTGCTGGTTATGCCTAAATCAACCAACAGCTTTTCTCCAGGAGCACATGAATGAGATAATATCCTCCACTACCAAACATCAACTTTATATTTCCAGATGTATTAATGAAACTTGTCATTCTCCAAAAGCTGCAAATCAGTAAGTAGTAAATTGAGCAGAAGTAAGTATTTACTTAGACTTAGACCAGTCAGTCTAAGTATACATTTTCAGTTTCCATAGTTTCAGGGGAATACAATTTGGGAATGCATGACTAGATCTTGCTTGTACTGAATTAGGATTAATATGATTTGTGCTGTGCTCTCTGTCAGAGAAATGTCTTTTAAAAACCTGCCATCTCTATGGGATTTCTTTCCTTACATCCATTCTGTCTCAGGTTGGTTTAACTTCTTTCAGTGTTTCTGTGTAGATTATCCCTATTGTCCATTGGGCTGTCTGGGGGCAGGGAGATGCTTTTTTCTAAATGAAGTCTGTTGTGTTATTAACTCATTCTCTTCCAGAGCTGGTGTTGAAAGTAATTTCACTCATACTTGTGATTTTGCTTTTAGCTCCTTTGCACCTTACTCAGTGCCCTCTCTATTTTATTTCCTCTGAAAGGTTCACTTTTTATTGTTATGCATTCTCTGTCATGTTCCATTGAATTCAGTACCCTAACTACATCACTTTGCAGTATACTTGAAAGGGGTAAAAGGTTCTAGTTTTTTATATGGATTAATCTCTGCCGAGATTTTCATTCTCAGTGTAAATCTTGGTTACCATTCTATAAGTTTATGAAAGTGAAATTGTAGTTTATCTTGGATTTTCATTAGATTTGCATCTCTTTCCAGAGATATCCATTCCTGTCAAGTTTCAGTCACTGAGAGACAAAATAATCCTTATTTTGAATTAACTTTAGGAAATTTTAAAAGGACCTCCCTTATCCTGATGAAGAACTTTTCTCTGTGTGACATTCTCATAGTTTTTTGAACTCACTCATTCATATTGTCAGTTCTTGTGAGCCTTGGGTACCAGATAAAGCAGCTTTCACAATCCATTAAAAGAAGACACATATTTTACCTCTGAGTAAAACAAGTAGCACTAAAATATCCTTTGGTTTATTCTTGAGGACAAATCTTCAGAATATAAGAAATAAAGGGTATGTTTCTTCCTATTTATCCCAATTTGTCTTCAGAAAACCAATCAGACTTTTACATTATAGATATGATTTATGATAAAGCATGTAATATTCATAGGCACACACATTTCTAATGTCATGTTATAGTAAAGGGTGGAGATAGAAGCTTAATCTCCCATCAATGACCAGAGGGGATTTACATATAGTTCCTATAATAATAATAGGAGTTATCCACCGAACATTCCCCACACACATGGATGAGAGAAAAGATACCTAAAACATGATAGCTTTATACAATGCATCCCTTAGTCACTCTCCTCTTCTTTTTAGCTTCTGGTAATAAGGTATTTGTAGTTGTTATGCTAGTTCTTTCAGTTTTTCTTAATCTTGGTGTTTTATCATGGGAGGGATATCAGTAGATTTTGAGGGACTGATCTTTTTCACCTCTCTTGCTAAAAACAAGATAATATATATGTGAACACATCTCTTCCACAAGGAAGTAAGGAATATGCACTTGTATTTCCCTGGTGAGCAGAATGACACATTTCTTAAGATCAAGAACTTGTTATAAAACTAGTTATCCTTACATTTCTTCTCTTTCTCTCAAAAAAATAATGTGGGATTATGTTCCTAAAGGTAAAGGAAAACATATCTGTCTTTGAACATTAGTTGTGTCTTTAAGGATTCTATTTAGTCCCCAGTACTAAAATTTAAAATCTGCTTGGTTTAGTTGTCTTCATGTTAAAGCTCTCTGATTGTGTAATGGATTTGCCATGTGTATTATGTCGGGGACAATCTCAATTCATAAGCAAAAGTACTAATGAAAGTGATAAATTATGAATGTTGCCTTTGGGCCAGTTATGGCCCATATTCTATTCTTGTTCTTTGCACAGAATTGTCTGTGATAGCTTGGCACACACAATAGAATGTGAGTAGAGTATGGCCCTTGGTATGGAGATGTTTGTTCAAGTTTCCCCTAAGCACCTCAATCTTGACTTCCCACCACCTCTGCTACTATAATTTTGGGTCTCCCATAAGTAGAGACTGACGGTTCTTCTAAATTGTGCACAAATTTCTGATGAGTTCAAGTCTTGTTCCCACCTTCACAGCTGCGGAAGGCCCCTTGAATGTGAAATGTGTTCAGCTTTGCTGGCCAGGATGTGGGGAGGAGCTGAGGATATGTAGGAAGCACCCTCTTTGTGGCAAGGAATCCAGCTCCACAAGATTTCCATTCATGGCACTACATGTGGAGGCAGGATTTGGGTTTTGAGAGCAGGGCAGCATAAGGGTGTAGCTAGAGAAGTTATCACTATACAGATGCTCCAGTCCATCTCTTCCCCTCATCCCTGTCTACTGACAGTACTAGGCTTGCAAAGGCTACTCCAAACAACAGAGTAGATTCCATAATGCAGCGTTGTTCATGTTCTGTGGTGTTGGAGGAAGATTTCTCCCTCTCCTTTCCTGTAGATCTCTACAGTAGTCAGCTGGGTTTGGTGGTTCGGAGTGGATTTGCCGCATAAATTATTTTTTGTAACATTTAAAAATAGCAGCTGCGATGAATCTACCAAACTGGTTTTCACTGTGACCTAAATAATGATTTACATCTCTGGAGATGAAAGCCTAGAGCTTTAATCCACACTGAAGTCTGTGCTGCTGTGGCTACACTGTCAGTACCCAAACTAGCAAGATTAAAGCTAACTAAGGTATATCGATACCTGCTGCTATTACAGCCCATTAGACCTCCCTAAGTCCCCTCTCTCTGTTAACCACAGTAACATCAACCATTTCAGAAAAAAACTCCTGTGCAAGCAGCTTTTGGAAGAAGAATAACTACCATCATTTTTAGCCAAGGAAATCAACACCATCCTTCAGTTTTAACTGAGGCTTCAAGTTGAGGACATTTTCCCTCTATCATTGCAAAATGTTAAAATAATATAACATCCCATTTCAGTGCTCTTTGTCCTTTAATCTGCTGGCTAGAGCTGTTTTCTTAATCTTATCATCATAATTTAGTTCAGCAAAGTGTTTAAAATATTGTTACATCTAGAGTGATGTATCTCTACAATTATTTAATAAGATTTGTAAAAAGCTATGTTTACATATGTATATACAAAATAGTAGTAGTCAAAAATAAAGAAATATCAGAAATAATTTAAAATACAGTATTTAATCCTAGAAGATTTAATGATCAGGCATTAGGATACTGGACATTCTCCTCAGCCCTATTTCTAGTAATATAGGGTGAGTGGAAATATATTAATTTCATTTCGTTCTTTTCCCTTTTATTGTCAGTGGTCTAGTGAGGACATCTTTATGGTATAGCATTGAATCTGTTTTTATTACACAGAGTCCACTAGAAAATTTGTAGAGAGAATGGGTAACAAAAATAAAATATGGCTCTAATACAAAGGCAATAAACAAAAATAGATATCCGTATATTCTCAAAAAAGGCCTAATCTTCTGAATGCCTAACAATATAGGTTTGGTATTGCTATCTACTAAAATACATAAAGTTAGTCATATAAATGGCTGTTATGTGTGTTCTATCCTTGTGTCTCAGAGTAAAGAATAATACCAGTTTTATGGAACTTTTGTCTGAAAACCAAAAAATTTTTGTTTCTCAGTTTTTAAATGAAAATGTCAAAATGTTTCCATGGAAAGTAGATTCTTTTTGTGAAAAATTTCATTTAATAAAACCCCATTTTTCATAAAAACCCAGTTTTGACTGAAAATGATAAATGGTAAAATAGCCTTATTCATTAAGCTTTGTATAAGCATCTGAAATTATAGATGCTTATATAAATTGAATCTTCAGAACTATTCACTTTATTCTGTGGGCCTCAGTTTTTGGGGGCTCAGCAACACACACCAGGGTGTCTCCTGCTGGACATCCAAAAATGAGACTTTCAGAATTACTGGCCATTTCAGAAATGTTGTCATCAGTAATTAGTGAGCCAATGTCTCCTGGCAAGGGAATGTGAGTCATAAAAAGGGTAAAGAGATTCAAAATAGTTGGTATCTTCAGAAGAATAAGGGAGCTGTGCATTTTCAAAACCTTTGAAGACCAGGTACAAGATATCTCAAGCTAGACTCACAAAATCTGAGGTACACAAAATTACTGGACACTTCTGAAAATTTGACCATAGTTTTTTGTTATTCAAACTAATGTTCTTTATCTTTTTAAAAATTGTGACCTTTAACATGATTTCTCCAAAAATGTTGAGATGAATACGCTGATGGGCACACCAGTACTGGAAAGTTTGGACTTCCATTATTTATGTTAATGTTTTTCTATGGATATATAGATGACTTCAGTTTCTAGTACTCTCAATACAGATTTTGGCATAAGCAATAACATTTTCTTTAACGCAAAAAATAAATGTTGAATCTGAAGAAAGCGTATTGATAATGAGATGCAGAAGCATAAACAAATGAATCAACCAAGTATTTTGTCCTAGAATGTCGATTGATCGTTCTAGAATTGAATGTGTTTTTGTTTTCCAGTATAATTGTACTGTATATTATTTATGTTTTTATTTTAGGCACAGAAGGGGCAGTGTTTGAGCACTCTGTGGAGACACCCCATATCAGAGCTGAACCTTCCCAAGACCTCAAGTAGGTGTTTGTTAAAAGAGTTGTTTAAAATTTATTTTTTCCCAACACCAATTAAGAAATCTTGATTTTTATTTTTTATTTATTAAGTAATCAATATCATTTAGACCATTCATTTATATATATTTTATTGGGCTTTTCCTGGTATATCTAAAACACCCACAGACTTCACAACAGATGATACCACAGTCAGAGAGAAAAATATCCTTTATCACAAATGATATGCACACCCCTTTACTTTTTATAATGTAACTTTCTCCAGTGCCAAACTAATCTAAATCATCGAGTTTGGGGTTTGTACACACACTATACCTTTTTGAACAGCCTTTTAAAAAAAAAATAGTCCCGTTTAATACAGTCCTGTCTAGCCGTGTGAAGCCCAGATCTTGTTTGTTTATGAGCTATTGCAGGAGATAAAAGCCAAAATGTCAACAGAAAGTAAACAGCCTCAGGTTTGTCCTTCATACAATACTTCTGTGGGTTTTTTAAAGGGTGTTTTTTGTTTTCTTCGGGAATTCATTTTTAAGTAAGCCAGTCTACCTCTCAAAATGTATTCAAAGTCATTCTGAGATGGTTGTATGTGTATATGGATATGTATGCATAAGTAAATTGTAAAAGGACAAAATCTAGAGTTTACTAAAGAGTCTATAAGACCAAGAAAAAGATAATTTAGAATGACTTGCCAATGGAGACCTTTTCATAAAGTTTATATGTTATTTCAGTGGTAGGTATTAATAATTTACACTAAAAGATGGAGAGATGAAATTTAAATGTGAAACAAACAATCATACTAGAATCTAAGGATTTTTTGTGATCTTTCCTAGCTTTACTTACTTCAAAGTTTACTGCAACTCTTCCATGGTTTCTGCACATTATAAACCCTTCTCGCTATCCTGCCTAGCAACATTTACAGTGCCAAGCTGTTCACTGGCTTCCAGAAGGAGGTTAGATGAGGCCCCCTCCATGCATTTTAAAGAACTATCAACCTAACATTGACTTCAGGGAGGCTCCGCATAGCCATACAGCATGCAGGATTGGGGCCTTTATTTTTTCCCCTCTCTCTCAGAAAATGGAAGGGTCTGACCAAAATTGAGCATTAAAACAGAACATTTTAAACTTAATGTAAGGCTTTTGGGGGGGCCTCCAGAGAGTGCAACACTCTTCCCCCCGCCCTCCTGCCAAAGGCTGTATTCTGTTGTTAAAAGTAGTTGTTGTCTACAGTAACCAGGTGGCAGGATTACTAACAGTGAGGAGGGCAGCAGAGACAGAAGAGAAAACACAAGTTGCTGTTGTTTCAAAAAGGCACAACCAGCAGCAATAGTCTCATGTGAGCAGGGCTGGCGCAATCCATTAGGTGACCTAGGCGGTCGCCTAGGACACTAACATTTGGGGGGCAGCGACCGCGGAGGCCGGATGTTCGGCCACCCCAGTCGTCAGCGGTATTTTGGGGGCGGGACCTTCCGCCACCTCTGTCGGGGGCGGTATTTCGGGGGCGGGACCTTCCGCCGCCTAGGGTGGCAAAAAAGCTGGCGGCACTCCTGCATGTGAGGGAGAAGTGGTACTTTTGCCACCCTAAAGCATATGGAGGATAGAAGCAGATGTACTTTGTCAGCATGCAGTATTCTGGATGTGATTTTAAGGGTTCATTTGAGTAGGGCTGTAATCTCCCTGATGCCTCTGTGTATGCAAATTGCACTATCCTTTATTTGCCATCACAACCCATTGCAAACTCACATCTAAATTGCAGTCTACTACCAACCCTAGTTCTCTTTTGGCATTTCTTTTTTCCGTGCTTCTCCTTCCCACTGAATATCTGCCAAACCAAGCATTCCCTTAAATCATTTGTTATCACGTGTGCTGCAATTAATGGGAATTCCTCAAAATCCTTCAACTAGCCTTCCCCTCTTCTTCTAACATCAGATTGATTTAGAGACAACACAAAGAAGGACAATTCAGCACCAATCATCATCAAATAAGACATTTATGAAACTGAAATAACTCCACATAACATTTTAGGCTAACAGCATTAATTTACAATTAAATTATTTTATTCTTCATTTATTGAATATGTATTATGCTCTGCCAGCTACCCCCAAATGTTTACTGCTATGTATTCATTAGGGTTCAGGGTTATTGCATTTGAAACCTCTGAAGTCATCTAAACAAAATCAAGTTATCAACCTCTGGAGTTAGGATTTTATGAAAGCTGACAATATATTTTAGTCTAGCACAGAAGATACTGGACAATTTACTAAATAATGACCTTGTATATGCAGCAGAATCTGCCACTGAAACTAGAAGGAAAATTATGACCATGTTTACTAGAGATGAGACTGAACTACAAAATTGGATGTGAACCCAGATTTTGACACCCACTAAATTAAGGGTTGTTTTTTTTTTTCTCAAATCTGACAGTTTGGCTCAGCTCATTATAGACAAAAGGGCGGGTTGCAGAATTCAGCTCTGGAGCTTGGTTTATACTCTGAACAGTGTCATCCCCCAAAAAATGTAAGGGTGTTCAGACTTTGGCCCATCTCTAATATTTGCTATTAAAATGTTCCTTTTAAAAATCATACACAATGCGGCTTTAAAACAACTGCATATTTGTCCCCTCTTCTGTGGCGTTTTTTTCCTTACATTTTTTCCTAATCTAGCCAGCCAGCTTTTGCTAGCAAAATGTTTTCCTACAATCCTTTGTGAAAGCTGATAAACCCCTTTAGATCAAGTCCATTGCCCAAAATATAATTGAATCTGACTTTCATTAGCTGAAACATGCAGAATAAAAGAACCGTGCTTTAGAATGAGCAAAATGAATTACATGTTAATAATTAAATCTCCAGATTTCCGTTGATACCTTTTCTCACAAGAATGCTGTGAAGGAACTAAACTGCCAAGATTATAGCCCCAAAATATTGGCTTTAATGATAATAATGCATTAAAACACGGTGCACTAATGGGTAATATCTATGCACAAAAGAGTCAGCCAGTGGTTATATGCTGATAGCTATGCCCTGAATCACCTTCTTAATAAGGGGGTAAATTACTTTGTTGTTGTTTCCTACCTCTGGGGAGAACTAGAAGATCAAATTTAATAGCTTTTTTTTCTTCTATGTCAAGACTAGTATACCATTGACTATTAGCTAATCCTGAAAGCTAGTGCTGGGCATAATGAGATGGAAATTGATCAAGCAGCAAGAAGCAGATAAAGCCCGTAAGATCTCATTTTGACTCTGATCAGTATCGAAGATACACAAATCCCACAGAATGGTTTTATGTTTTCCACAAAGCTACAGCCACATGACATCTCTAAGAGCCTTTGTCTAAAAGGCTGCAGTAGGTAGCATGCTAACATAGCAGTGTGTCCTTTCTGTAAAAGCTTGAGGCCAGGGAAGGGGTGACACAGTTTTGTCATTGAAATGGTCGAGGTTGAGAGAAGCTAGGCTGAGAAGCTATTTGAAGTTGGTAGGAGAGGTGTGATCTTCTGTTCATGCACTTTATCCAGAAAAAGCTAACAAACCAATCTTCGACACAAGGGAGAAGATGCTATAGCCTGAGACAGTCCAAGCCCCTGCTTTTTTAATTTTTTTTTTGGTAGAACGTTAATGGCTATAAATTATTGCCAGTCTCTCGAGCTATGACCAGATGGATTTTAGTGACCTTCTCATTCTCTGACTTTTTTCACAAATTGGTTTCATTCCCAAATTGATCTTGCCTTCAGATATTCTGTATTTAAACTGATATGTTTTTGTGTTGATACAATTAGAAAAATGGATTTGTATCTCTAATTGGTGAGAATAACTTCTTCCTTATCTTTATACTTACAGAGGGGAGGGTGTGTGTGCGCACCATCACTATGTCCGTCTGTATGCTCCATTTTTCCTGGTTAATATGACAGGCACCTGTTAGTTCTGACCTTTTATAAGATTGACAAAGAGCTTCCATTATATGCCCCTGTTTTTATATGCTTGCATTTTTCAAAATCATTCACCTCTTGGATTGATATTTAGGACCCTTAGTCTAAGCGCAGAGATGACTATTCTTTGAAAAAATATGGCCCAAATCCTTTCTGCTGTTTTAAAAGATCAAAGAGTGAGAAATATACCCTTCTTCAAATATTAAAAAAACACCCTACTTTTTTGTCACAGGCCTTTAATAGAAACAGCTAACACATGAAATGCAGTATAGACATAGTTCTCACTTAAACACTAATGTTCTAAGCTATTGAAAAATCACTTCTGAGCATGCTCAGTGACAATTAAGTAAACCTGTTAGCAGAGCCAATTGAAACCCCATCCTCTTTTTAAGGTCACTGCACTTCATGATTCTCCTCTCTGGCCTGACTAGGAGGTTCGAGACATTAGCTGCTACTCTGAGTGCTGTTGTGTCTCAAAGCTCAACTGTGCAAGGTACTGAGCACTTTGGTTCCAATCCAACAAAGTATTGTCCAGCTATACCAAAAGAAGAACAGGAGACAATCGATATGGATTTAATCAGATCACAACTTTATTATTAGATATCTGGGACTACTGGCAGATAAAAGTGTATAGTGCAGGCAACTCCATGTTCATTCAAATAACTACTCGAGGCTTCCACCAGCCCCCCTTCATTTTCCATCCTGCCAGCCCATGGCTTGGACCCTACCATCCACCCACGTTGTAGCAGTGTTAAGGTGGGCTATAAGAAAGGGGGTTGGCTTTGTGCCATACCAATCATAGGAGCCTCGATTCCCCCACCCCCCTTCCATTATTTTAACCAGCACCTCTTTGTAAGTCCTTTACCAGGCCATTTATCTGGTCACTGGATGCCTTCCCTATGGAGTACCTACACCGGACATCTGCCCCACACTTACAAAATGAATTGCAACATACAGCCTAACTCCCTTTCCTCCCCACCATAATAAGTCCTCCCTAATACCCGCTGTGGGGAAAGCAAAAAAAAAACCCACTCCACCTAGCCCAATCTGGTGGTGAGGGAAAATTCCTTCCTACCCACTCCCCTAAAAA